CCTAGTTCTTCCCATTGTTAGTTAGCTGTTCTTGGTAGCGATGGAGGAGGCTAACTTGATTGTTCTAGCTCTCAATGAAAGCACCAAATGATGGAGTATTAACTCCTAGATTCTAGAGAGAGGTGAGATCTAGAGAGAGAAGTAGTATATTTGATTTGTATTAATGAATTCTGAACCCCTACAACTACTCCCAAGGGGAGTATTTATAAAGAAAATTAGGGCTGGGCTCCCAAGTTTTGGGCTTGGGAGGCCCATTTACAACAGGGCCACTAATGGGCCAGATACAAAGTGTATAGAAATGATAAGTATAAAATCCTGTTCTAGATGCTATCTATGGATGACGAGGGCATGGCCGATGAGGTCACCCGGTTCTCTTGACTTCTGGATCATATTCTGGGTGGCCTTCTTTCTGGCCGATGAGAGCATGGCCGAAGAGGGCACCCGGTTCTCCGGGCTTCTGGATCATATTCTGAGTAGACCTTTTTCTGGCCGATGAGGGCATGGCCGATGAGAGCATGGCCAATGAGGGCATGGCCGATGAGGGCACCCGGTTCTCCGGGCTTCTGCATCATATTCTGAGTAGACCTTTTTCTGGCCGATGAGGGCATGGCTGACGAGGTCATCCAGTGATCATGGTACCTTCTGTTCTTCTGAGTATGTGGGTCCTGGGGCCTAGACCCATATACTCCATCAGGGGCCTAGAGCCACGCTTTTCCAAGCAATTTTGTCACTTAATTGACGTTCATATTTCTCGAAAAGGTTGATATACTTTAGTTCTTTGGGGTTGGATTATCCGTTCGAGTGAGGAGTCTGCCTCACTTACTCGCGGATTCAATCTTTCTTTCGGAGACTGGGTTGAGGCCTAACTTGGGAACTTGATGTCACTCTTTTCAAGTAGTGAGTCCGACTCACTTACATACTGAGCCGTGGTTCGACACCAGGCCAGATGCTCTATTCTACACTAGTTTCTTTTATGTGTAGGTACAACTGAATGAAGTGGGGAACTGAGGGTCTTACCATCTTCAAGGAAGCAAATGACGAACCTGACGAGTCTGAGCCCAACGAGAAGAACAGTTCTAGCCATCCTATTCACAGATGGCGACCATTGCAATAAAGGCTGAGGATCTCACCTCTTGCTTCATCTTGGGGGGCGTCAGATGTACTCTTTTTCCCTTCATTAGGATTTTTTCCCATTGGGTTTTTTCCTAATGAAGGTTTTTAATGAGGCATCTCTCCAACACGGACAAGGGTGGAGATCTTCTAGTCTCAGAGAAGAGCAACTGATTTGGACTACTCCTTCTTAGCCGAGTCTACGACTCGACTAAGGGAGTGGGGGACTCGTGATGGAGTAATGGGACTAGGCCCAGAGCCTAATCAGCCCAAGCCCCGAACCTGGAGCCCGTCTACTAGCCCAGCGGGGAGCCTGCCAATCCGGCCGACCTCCCAGCACGGAAGAGTAACAGTCAAACAATTAATGCGCTATTAATTATGTATTTAATTTTGTATTAATGTTGTATTTAATTAGTCATTATTATCGGTAACAGTTACGATTTGTATACGCCTACAAAAGGCGGCTTGCAATTCATATTAGGGGGCAATTTCTATATGCTATTTCTGGCAACTAAATCTCATAGCTACTTTCCATTCTCGTTCTTGCTTTCCTAATTCCTTCTTGAGTGTCGTACGTAGCTTTCCTAAAAGCCTACGAGCGTCCTATTTTGGACCAACAAGTATACTTATCTAAGAGATATAAATGTGATTTACACTATTGCACTATTGTCCTTAACATATTCTTCAGTTCATTTGGACATTGTTATTATTCATTTAACTTAAGAAGAGGGTATTTTTTCAATGACATGGATAGGATTCAAAGTCGTTAAAACTTGAGGGTTATTATTTTGAAATAATGAGAAAGGATACTCCAATAAGATTCATAGCATATATATTTATAATAGAAGAGTTGCTAAAATACAAAGTATTCCTAAATAGATATTAGGCTACTACACCCCCTCAAACTGTGTGGGAGATACAACACATAAGTTATCCTTTAAAAAATGGAATTACTGACTAGAAAGACTCTTAGTAGATTTATCCTTCAACTGAATACTAGGAGGCACATATTTGATAATAAGATCTCCATGAGAAAATAGGTTGTTTCTTGGACTTTCAAGAAAGCAGATTAGAACCAAATACAACAAACCCTGAAGTAGACCTGCAATCGGATGTCCGATGTATGTCAGAGTAGGCTGACAATACCGTCCATGATTTGAAGACCCCTGGGGATACCTTGAGGAAGAACACTAAACGAAGTGGGCATCGGAGAGGATCCTGATCGACGTCCAACTGGCCCAGCGGAAGACAATGGGATCATGCCAGGGTCGTCGAAGAGAGTGGGACCGGCGTAGCGCTATGGAACAGCTGCACAAGCGGCCAAACTGGACTCAGCTAAAGAGTGAAAGTATGAAGCAGGCGACGAACTCAACGACATGCTGAAAGCAAGCACCGTGGTCAAGGACGCGGAGAAGGTGCCATATCAGCCGCACTCATGCTCAAAGGATCGAAGACTGCAGTAGATGTGGCGGTAGTAGACCCCGATGCGACGATGGTTGTGTCCGTGTGCATGGCGGCGACGGTGGCTGTATGCTCGTATGCATGGTGGCGGCAGCATTATGGTTGAAAGAGAAAAAAAATTAAATTCTAACTCTTGATATTATGTAAAATAATGGGAAAGGATACTCCAATTACTTCTATTATATATAATAGAAGAGTTGACGAAATACAAAGTATTCCTAAATAGATATTAAGCATGTTCTTAATTAATATTTAGGCTGGTAATGATGTGGAGGTCATAATAACAATTTTTAATAATTCAAGATTGAACATTATTTCCCTTTGATGGAGTATATGGCCCGGGAATCCCCGGCGCACAGACTCCTACTACACCAATAAAGGCCCAAACGGCCCAGGAAGCACAGCAGGCCCCAAATTACGGCGCCCCAAGCACTTAGCAGCCCACAGCGCACACTGGGGAGCCTTCGGCGCCCTGGCCGAAGGCTCAAAACTCTCACAGAATGGGTTTTTCAAACAAACTAAGAAACTGGGAGAAAAACGGCAGAAAACAGTAGCCCTCGGCACCTAGAGCCCTCGGCACCCAGGGGGTCCCCGGTACTCAGAGCCCTCGGCTAGTCCTCTGCGGCCGAGGGCACCTCTCCCGACATAATATCCGCGCCACATGCGTACAGATCACCGTACCCTGTACAAACGTCCCATCCAACAGCCACATTAAATGCGGCCACATGCGGCTGCCAGCGCCAACCAGTTGAGATGACCTCTCGGCCAATGGGCGCTTGACACGTGTCCCTGTCCGGCATTTATTGCTACTATAAATAGCACCCCTTTTCCCCATTTGTAACCAAGTGATAAACGCTGAAAACGCTCCACACTTCATAATATACTTTCTCTCTCTATATTTACTTGCTCTGACTTCTCTCTTATTACTCCCCGTAATAACCCCTCGGATAAGCTACCCCCGGGTACACTATCCATCACCCTTCTTACAACTATCAAGGAAAGTATACATTAACTGTATGATTGACAGACATAAGTTCATAAATGTTAAATTTTGCATAATTCTAAAAGCTTGTAAATGTTCTTAGTGATATGTTGGCATAACCATTTTAAGAGGTTTTTTAAATATGTAAAATCCTTTTTGAGAAGCTATGTTGAGTAGTTTTTGGAAGTTATTCTATAGCTTTTAATATTAATTGTTACGATCAACTTAAAAGATAAACGTTACTAAAAAGTTTCGAAAAAATATCCTTTTAACTAGTTGTGCCTCGAGAAACATCATACTAACGCACATATACGCTCTTTAGAGCATCTATAATGCAACAATGAACATGATGTATGTGTGACTCGAGAAGATGGGTAAAATGAATAAATCGATAATATTTCTCTTTCTTTTTTTCCATAATGTTTTTGTACTTATAAGACTATGCAAACAAAACATATAGACATTGTATTACATGTCTTCAAATTTTTATGAAATAATTGCATGTTTATGACTTAAATAAAGATTGTGTTACAGAAATGTGATTAGTAACTAGAGTAGTAATGAAATCATAGTCGTTTATGTTCAATTTTTAAACTTAAATTACCATGACACTGCACTGTAGTAACGTTTTTGTACTTATAAGACTATGTTGCTCGTCGCTGCCGCTCATCCCCTTCTCCTCTAGCACGGACACAACAGATTCGTCTGCACAATTACTTCTCCTCCATCTGTCTTTATTTTCACTACTTTTCGTTTTTCTCTTTTTCTTATTCAGTTTTGCCGTTTGGCATTGTGATTTTGGAAGACAAAGAGAGCCAACCGCAGACAAACGAATCCTTACTGCTATTGATCTCAAATGAGTTTTATATCAAACTCAAATGAGTATACACATAAAAGAAATGAACATACACAACTGAATACTATGTACGTTAAAAATGAGTTTTATTTTAAATTCAAATGAGCATACGCATCAAAGAAATGAACACACACAACTGAATATTAAACACATGAAAAATGAGTTTTATTTTAAGCTCAAATGAGTATACACAAATGACCTTTTGAATTTTTTGATACTCATTTTGTAAATTATATATGCTCATTTGGTACTGGTTTATGCTCATTTTAAAATGTTGCACATATCAAACATATCATACTACATTAGATTCATATATTGAAATTAATTGAAATTGATTATAAACACCATTTAATAATTTTTTATAAACGAAAAAATAATAAAATGAAACTGAATTAGAAGATATTAAGCAGAGATCACTAGTGCTCATTATTAGGTTCCTAATACTGAAAAGAACAGACTCAATGCTCATGAAAATTGCATCAATACTCATTTAAGAGAAATCATGATTTTCACCAAAATTACAAATTTGACACCGACTGTACGACTCACACCGTATATCCTGCTATACCATATATGCTTCCATTATTGTAGGTAGTATTCAAGATGTTGCTAGACTGCTAGTCGCCTAGAATCAAGAAGGGACAATCATCGGTTAAGAATCTAAGATAACAAAGCACTTTTTAGGCTTTTTAGGCTTTTGCATTGTTTTAGGGGAACCTCAAACGTTTCCACTAAAACTGTTTTTAGGGGAACTAAAAGGACACGTACGCTACGCTGATCACAAAGCAGCCGTTTGGACTCCCGCCAGGAAGTGATCGGTACTATTTATTTATTTCTTCTTCAAAATCACTAAGTAGACATTTTCACAAACAGAAAATGGAGACGATCCCCCACCTCCCATGGGAAATAATTGTGCACATTTTTTGCCGGTTACCCGTGAAAGATCTGCGTCGCTACAGGTGCGTATCGAAGTCCTGCTGCTCCCTGATCGGCAGCCGTCATTTCATCAACCTCCACCTCAAGCACTCTCCGGAATCCACTTCCCAACTCGGATTCGTGTTCGGAGGCAGCAAGGATCTCTGCTGGGCTGCCTTGAACGATCTCAACTCGTTCGTTCGACTCACTTACCCTATAGACATTGGGACTGGGATCAGCGTCCACGGAAGCTGCAATGGATCGCTTGCTATTATGAACCCTAGTTCGGATATGGCGATTTGGAACCCTTTCATTCGCAGGTACGTCAGTTTACCCATCTCGGATCATTTCCAGTCCTTTCCTATGCATGAATTCGAAGTTTTCCTCACCGGATTTGGGCATGACCAGGTTACTGACGACTATAAGTTCATGATGTTGATCGAATTTCATGGGCTCTTTCGGAGATCATTTCACCGCGAATTCAAGGTTTATAGTTTGAATGACAAATCCTGGAAGAAAATTGACGATTTCCCTAATCACATTAGTTATGGCCGTAAGAATGGGGTACTTTATGGGAATGCGTTGCACTGGTTGGTGAAAACTAAACCTGATAATTCCAACCTGATTTTGGCCTTTGATGTTGTCACCGAAGCTTTCGGAGAGATTCAGCTTCCTGAAAACAAGTGTATTTGTGTGAAGCTTGTGAATCTAGGAGGAAAATTCTGTGCTGTAATGCTGACTACAATGTCACCCAGAGTGGAGGTGTGGGAGATGAAGAAAAACAGAGTCAAAGAGTCTTGGGCTATATTATTTTCTGTTCCACCTACCAATCCAACCCCCCCTTTCAGCTTTACGATTCCAATTGCATATTTGAAGAACGGTGACCAGGTTTTGCTTCATGACAGTGCAAAACTCTTCGTGTATGATATCAAAAGAAAGGTTCTGATAAAAAATGCAGCAGGTTGTGCTTTTCCTGAAATTTGTGATGCCCTTATTTGTATGAAAAGCCTGGTGGGACTTGATTTTAGTGAAAGTACTTGGAATGCTAAGAAGCACACTGCTAAACAGAGGTAAGACCTGCAATTTATTTGAATTCTTCTTACTGGATAAGTCCTTTAAGCTATGTCTGTAAAGCCCAAGATTGTTGGCATGAGAAAAAGAGCGTGAATGAAATGATTTTCTTACTTGTAGTAGTAAATTGCCTTGGAAAATATAAACAAAATTCAGATTTGATACTCTTAGTTAATTACATACACGGTGTTTTTTGGTCTTGATGAGTTGACGTAGCAAAAGTATAATAGATGAACTTATTTTAGTACTCTGTAGTATATTAGTTACTCCACATGTGCGTTACACGGTAGTGAAGTACCTACATAAAAGTTCAGACGCAATTATATACAAATTACAAAAACTGAATCATGATTAAGTTTACTTAAAATGTTAAATAAAATCATGAATAAGGTGTCATAGGAATATAAAACTAAGGAATTAAATATAAAAATTAAATGTATAACATCATACAGTGATTTTGCAAAAAATATCCTCCTATGAAATAAGAGTGCATTAAGTATGCAAGTCTATGAAACTATAAAGTATTATAACGTTCTTTATAATTATAGTTTTTTTTGGAAGTTTTTGACTCGTTGTGTTTTGATCTTAACGTAGCAAAAGTATAGTAGATGAATTTATTTTAGTAGCATATCTGCATGGGACCATTGTGATCTTTCTTTCTCAATTGTCTTCTCTATTTTCATCTGTATTATCTTCCTCTACCTTTTTACTGGTCCCAAACAAACTCTTGTGATCATTGTTATATGTAAGACCGACCCGTATTGACTGCTATCTAACTAAATTTGGTTTTGAGTAGAGATGATTTCCTATCCAAGGGATTCAAGCTAGGTTTATAAAGTGATGCAGAAAAGCTGGTTGAAGCAAGACAACAAAAGCTCACATTTTGGTTCCGAGAATTGAGTTTTGTGGAATATTCATGATCATGAAGTTCAAACATTTTGCGACTGATGCTGATTTGTTTCGACATCAGTTTTTGTTCTCTTCATGATCACTCTGCCTGTTACCTGCTGTTGATTTTGGAATTTTATCATCTATATTTGTTTTCGGAATTTGGCAGACGTAAGTCTCTAGCTTCTAGCTTTTGTACTGTTCAAAAAGTCTCTATAAGCTTCTAGTTATATGTTTGGCATGACAATTTTTAAGAGCTTTTCAAAAATTAAAAGATTTTTTTGAGATGCTACAAGGAGTACCATTTGAAAAAAGCCCGTGACTTTTAGTATTAATTAGTCCTAACAGCTTGTATACTAAACTGAACTAAATCAAATAGTTAGCTTTTTACCAAGCAGCTACCACATTTTCTCTTTAAGATCTTTTTAGTCACTAAAAGCTAACGGTTATTAAAAAGCTCACAAAAGTATCTTTTCAGCTAGTTGTGCCAAACATATCCGTATTCTACTTTTCATACGGTAGCATTCAAAAAGAACTTCTTTATCTGTCTTAGATATGGACATTTTACCTGTCTTAGATATCCTTCTTACATTCATAAGAGACTTTTCGAACATATTATAAAATAAAACTGATTCACTATAATTTAACTAAAAACTATTACTCCACCCGTCTTATTAAACTTTACCAATTTTCATTTTTAATCATCTCAAAAACTTTGTCACTTTTTCAATTAAAGCAACTAATTTGTGGTTATGCTCATTTCTTTTTCCTTTGCACATAATTCAATCACAGAGCTTTTATTTTTCTTATTTTTCACCTTTTTCAAAGGTCAGATAATATAGTGTTATGCTCACTTAAGTAGTTAAGTTATAGGAACCATCTATCACTTAAATCTTGAGTTAAGGGTTAGATTGGTCCTTGAAGTTTGCATAAAAAGGGTCAAATAAGTTTTTATATAGGAGACTCTAACCATCCGTCGCAATTTGGGGTGGTTCCCTGTGGAATTTTTTGATGATTTTTTTGGGCATCTTATTCATTAAGTCTAGTTTACGCATATCAAATTTCAGCTAAAAATTCAATCGAGAAGACATTCAAATGAAGTTTTGAAGATAACTGCGCAGTTAAAAGCGCAATTACCTTCAAGAATTCATTTGAATGTCTTCCCGATTGAACTTTTACCTGAAATTTGGTATGAGTAACTAGACTTAATGAATAAAATGCTCAAAAAATTTATCACAAAATTTCACTGAAAACCTCCCCATTTGGCGACGGACCGATAATAAGGATTTATTTGACCGTTTATCCGTTTTGCTTCGAATTCTGACCTCCACGATCACACATACTTGTATAACCCACCTCAGCTGCAATATTCCTCCCATGAGTTCCACCCCACTCTGGAATGAACTACTTATTACCTCTACTTGATCTATCTCTATGACTTACATCCCTCACCCAAGATCCATACAGCTTACTCAAATCCTAGGGAGGAGAATTTGACAGTGTGTCCAATAATACTATAAACATAAAAGAAGTTAGGGAGGTATTCATGTTTAAAATCTGCCCAAAACCAATATCAGTTCTCGTTCCCTGTTTTCATTCTTCTTTTCAAAAACTTCCTAATATCCAGACAATCCATAATCCTAACTCCTAAGATATACTCCCCACCACCGAACAGATTAACTTTAACAAACTTCCCCATAAAATTTCAATTCCTTACGCTACGTTTAGGGTCAATAATCCCATTAGCAGATTATGGGTTTGTACTCAAAATTTTGAAACAATTAACGGAACTTTGAATGACAAATATTTTGAAATAAGAACACACAGTACAAAAAGATAGGACCATTCACAAGGACACGTTTCACATCGATTTTACAATAAAAGGTAAAAACATAACTCTTTTCTCTTTTTTTTTCTTGATTGCATCTCCTTTAATTGGCCTCTAAATTGCATCCATAATATCAATAAAAATTGGAAACTTTATTGTCTCATTAGTAATAAGCGTACCATGGTAATGATCATGGGTGAAAAACCCTAGGCACTCTATTCACTCATCTTCTAAGAATGTTAGTTCATACTCCCTTCGTTCCAAAAAATTCTTCCCGGTTTGACTTGGCACTCTTATTAAGAAAGTGGAATAAAGTGGAAATGTATGGTTGTGGTTGTGTAAGAAAAAGGTAAAATGAATGTGAGCCACACAAATTGTCCAAAATGGGAAAGTGAGAAGTATTTTTGGAAACAACCCAAAAAGGAAAGTGAGAAGTATTTTTTGGAACGGAGGGAGTACAATTTTACTATGGGTAACCCAAATTTACCTCATTTCTTACCCCATATAAAAATCCTCTCTCCTCCCCCCACTTTTCTTCTCCCCCTCCCCCACTTTTCTTCTCCTTCCCTCCCTCTCTCCTCCCTCTTTTCTTTTTACGCAGCCCCCCTTCCCCATCCTCTCCCCTTTCTTTCTCTTTTCTCCAAATCTTGATTTCTTCCCCATTTCAACATCTCTCTCCATCAAATCTTCCCATTTTTACAATCTTTTCTCCCTCCAAGCTTCTTCTCCTGCTTCTCGCCTCTTCTTCTTTTTCGTTTCAAATGCTAGAGCTACAGTAGATCGGACGAAGGGGAGAGCTGGGTGACGTTGGATAGCTTGACATGGGGAGACAACGACGAAAATGCAAACCAAGAAGCTTTGAATGACTTGAGAAGATCTACTTTTCTTGATCTTTTTCTTGATTTTTTGGTGTGTTTTCGAAAAAAAGAGTTGTCTGTCTGACAGACAACTGTAAGTGCAGTGTCTGTATTTGTTAGTAAGACTCGTGAAGTTGTTTGTCATTTGATCGTTAGTTGTCCGTATTTGTTAGACTAATGTTTTGAACTTCTTCGCTATAAATTATTATTTCTTATAAAAAAGTATAAATACCTAGCATAAAATCAATTATCTCTATGTAGGATTTTTAACTAAATTCTTTTCAACGAATAGATCTGAATAGGGCAGAATAGATCACACTTAAATAGAATATAACAGATCAGACCAAATTGCTTACTTGATCAAGTTAAATCAGATTTAGGGAGTGTTTGGGATTGCATCTATTTTTAAAAAGTGATGTTTATAGTGGTTTTAGATATATTACTTAATAGTAAATGTTGGTAGTGTTTGACAAAAAGTGCTTTTGAAAAAGTAAAAAATGGTAATATTTGGTAAAAAACTTTTTTTATGTAACAGAGGAAGTGAAAAGCAATTTAAAGCACCCTTTACATGTTTCCAACTTTTAGATTTTAAGTGGTTAATTTAAGCAAAAGTTGTCCTTTAATTGCAACCTCTTACTAACCTTGCTGATCCTTAGGGTGTCTTTGGGAGTTGGTTTGGGTGGGAGTAGAAGATATGCGAGGGCTGATGACCTCCTATTTGCGTTTGAGAGTATAAAAATGTGGATGAATGGTTTTTGAAGTTTTTGTGATCCTCCAAAATCTCTCAAAAGTTCAATTTTAAAGTTCTTCCGAAATGAGAGGTTTTGAAGGATAATTAACTAAATGATAGTTTAAGCTCGATTTAAAACAAATATAAGTTCAACTATTTGAATTCACCATATCTCATATGCGATTTTTATTATAATTGTAATACTTGAGATTTAATTCAAATGGATTAATAGTACTACTCATACTAACAAGGTGCATCTCCTTTTTAAGGGAGCTCATCAACTAAGAACTCCAAATTAAGCGTGCTTGCACGGGAGTAGTCGTGGGATGGGTGATCCCCTGAGAAGTTTCTCAAGGCGCGCATGAGTGAGGACAAAGTGCGCGGAAAAAGCTAGTGACGGTTTGTGAGGACAGTACTAGAGGTCTGGAGGGTGTGTATGAGTAACTACCTCGGGCCCTATGGGGCGGGGTGTTACATGTGGTATCAGAGCAACCCTATGACAATGCGCTGATCTGTTGGATATCGGGTAGACACTTAGCAGGGGGAAAGATTCTGTATATTCAAAAATTTCAAAAATTAAAAACATCTATTTGGGTCCCACTGAGTGACAGCTGTGCTTCTTATTCTTTTGAGTATTTGGGTCCTGGGGTCTAGACCCATATACTCCATCCATATTACTATATAATACTATGTTGTATATATATTATTGCTAAGAAAGTCTAAATTTAGGCATCACTATATATTTTTAATGAAAACAACCAAACTTCTCCGCTGGAATTCATTTTAATAGATACCGTATAATGGGAGGTTCTAAATTTGACAATTTTACAATTTTTTAATAATTATTATAGTGTAGGTATTAAATGGCAATAATAGCAAAGGTAAAATGAGAATGATGATATTTAATGTATGTTATGGAGTATTATTAGATTTTAATTGTGAATTAATATCGTAATGATATGTGGTTATGAGTGAGTAATAGAGTGACATGTGGCAATATGGTTCCTCCAATGTGACTCTCAATTGTATAATATATAAATATAGATGTATCTAGGGTTGTTATTATCCTGTCAATTTTGACAGTCACTTTATGGGTGATTTCTTGTTCAAATTAGCAATGCGGGTTGTTGCATGACGCTATAATGTTGTTTAATTGCCATTGAAGACACTCTTCCATGCGAAAATCTACTTTTCTGAGAAGTCATCTTTGTTCTCAAATCATCTATGGCACTACGGATGACTCGCCCCCCTTCCAAACCACCATCATTGATTGGAAACGTGATTCTATATTTTTATCGGGTTGGTGTATTTCATATTGGAATAAAACCCACTGATGTTATGTCGAGCACTACATATGTACAGATCTACTGGAATCGGGTGAGGGTGCTACGCCTACATGATTGGATGAGGATGGCTAGTTTCAACCTTATTTACAATTCTGATTATTTATGCAATTTTTATTACTTTTTGTTCGTTCATTTTGATTTTTTAGAGATCTTATAAGTTTTTCATACCACATTAGAAGCATAGAGATCGACATAATCGAATTAAGCTTCCATTGTACGTTACATGGTTAGCGCCTTTTGCGGCTCATTTGTGGGTGGTAAAGTCTAAGTCTAATCATTGGACTTCTGATTGAGGTTGGGACTATCTTGAATCTATTCTAATGATATTTGAATTATAATAAATACTTTCATGTTAAATGCATTGTACTGCAACTCTTTAGCAGTCACGGCTACAAGATGACAGTAAATACTGCCATGTTAGTCCCATTTCGGGAATAAAAACAAAGTAGTCCTATTTTGGAATTTCAAACTTCATTTGCTCCTATTTTGGGAAATCTCCCTTATTTTTTTTTGAAAGAAAGTGACTTATATTGAATAATCAGAATTCAAGCAAAATACAAAAAGTCTCTTTCCGACTGTCTGCCCTTGAGCCAAACTCAAAGTCTATCACTTCCAAAAGAGCAATACGACATTGGTCCTATAATGGGCTTAACTGAGTCAATGACGGACACGATAAACCTTTCATCACCCAACCTAAACTTGAGAGTTCTGCTAGTAGAAATAAAGAAAATAACCAAAACAATATTCAATTTGAAACGAAAAATAAAAATAAGAGCAAGGTAATTAAAATAAACACAATCTTGAAACAACATCTCTCAAACCCTAACAACACGATTCCTCCAGGGCGGCGGTTCGGGAGGGAGACGGACTGAAAATACTGCATCTTCCTCATCTCCTTTCTCCTTATTCATAACATTCTGTGCTACTGAGCAATCGAAAGTGTAGGAGATGCCGTTGTGAAGCCAAGTGTCGTACTGGTCAACAATGGACTCCATGAATTTTTTTGTCGTGTTGAACACTTGAACAGTTCAAGACGAACCTGTGACCTAAAACAAAGTATGTGTGATGCACACAACGCCTACATGCACAAAGTCTACGTCAGCCGGCGGAAAAGAAACCCTGTGACACAATAAATCAAGCCTGCGCGAGGCTGAAAATCTCTAACACTAACGTGAGGGAAAGGAAGCCACTTCTCTCTAGACCTTTTAGCTTACACAATTTAAAAAAAAAACAGAAATAACAAAATGAATTAGGAAAAGAAAAATTAAAACAAAAAACAAAAAATATATTCAAAAGATCATGCACAAAGGCACACGGACGGAGATCGCTGCTAATTTAATTGGGTTATAATAAGTAATAACCAATATAATCAAGAATATGGCCCATACTAACTAAAAAATCAGTAAAAGTATAGAAATGGCATTTAAGTCTAGGCATGGTCAGGTTAAGTATTATTGATAATTCGATGGTATATGAAACAACCCCCTATTTGAGATTATTATATGTTTTTATTTGGATTATAATTTTTTGATTTGATCATCCCCTGTTTGATGGGTCAGGTCTTGTTTGTTTACATCTGATCTGATCTGAAGTGGTCTGATTTGATCAATTATATGTGATAGAGTATTAACTCCTAGAGAGAAGTGATTTGTATTAATGAATTTCCAACCCTTTACATGACTCCTAAAGGGAGTATTTATAGGAGAAAAGTGGGCTGGGCTCCCAAGTCTTGGGCTTGGAAGTCCCATTACAATATAAGGCCTCTATCGGGCTGATTACATGAGAAGTCTAGTTGTGTGAGTTCCTTTTGGCCGACGGAGACGCTCGGCCGACGGAGACATGGCCGATGGAGACGGGGGGCTCTGGACGACGGGTGATTTGGCCGACGGGTGCCAGGCCGAAGAGGTACCCACCTCTACCTTGGACTCAAGCTGAGATCTGGGCGCTTTTGGTTCCGGCCGATGGGGTGCCATCTGGCCGATGCAATACAAGGTGATGTCGGTCTTCTGTGTTTAATCTTTTGAGTGTGTGGGCCATGGGGTCTGGGCCCATATACTCTGTCACGAGTCCCTCACTCTCTGAGCTGAGATGCAGACGAAGTGAAAGGGAGTAGATTCTTGTTGCCTTGATTTCTGTTGCCTTGATGCTTTTGGCCGACGGAGGATTACCTGGGAGCTCTGGAGCTCCTGGACGAGGCGGTGCCATCTGGTGACTGATGCTTGCTGTTGTTTCCTAGGCCATCGTGGGCTGCCTTTTGTGCTTCTGGTCGAGGAGGCACCTCAATTGCTTTTGGCGTTCCAGGTCGAAGCGAAATCATTCGTAGTTTGGTGTTCATGGTTTTGAGGACAATGGGGATCCTAGACCAGAGGACGTTGTGCGCCCTTGGTTTTGTGGTCGAAGAAAGTCTTACTTTGAGGACGATGCGTGTCATTGGCCTTGAGGACGAGGAGTGTTCTTGGCTTTGAGGACGATATGTGTCTTTGTTTTTGAGGATGATGTGTGTCCCTGACTTGGAGGAAGATGTGTGTCCTTGACTTGGAAGACGATGTGTGTCCTTGATATTGAGGACGATGTGCGTCCTGCTTTGCGCTTTGGCTTGGCCGAAGGTGGACGCCCGTGGTGCCCTTGTCATTCTTTGTTGAATATACACGATTTGCTCATTCAGCTATTGCGGAGCTTCTGTTTCTATGTTCAGGACGAAGAAGGTCATTACACTGTGGACGTTGCGCGTCCAAGGTTTTTGAGGACAATGAGTGTTTTTGCTTGAGTGGATGTAGTCCATTTTCGAGGATGTTATGCGTGCCACAGCCGCTGTGGCGTTATTCTTTCACCTTGGCCGAAGGTGGAGCATGTGATCCAAAGCCGTTGAGGCTCCACATGTTGAGGGACGACACGTGTCATGTTCTGGGTGGTGTGTTTGAGCTTTTCCGAGGGTGTACCACAAGGTCCTGGACATTGTGGTGCATAGACGATACGATGTCGTTGCAGTTGTACACTTGTGCGTTCTTGGATTTTCAATTTCATCCTTGCATTTGTAGGCCGATGTAGTCCCCCAGTCCCCCACAGCCTGAGGCGAGAGTATTCGATGCGAAAGGGAGTAGAGTTGTGTACTGATCTGTCGTCATCAGGTGGAGTAAACTTCTAGCGTCACCGAGGCGCCTCGCTCGGATTCCCGAAGCCGATAATCCGATCTCATTGGCAAGCCTTGACTGAGGCAACCCTGTGGGAGAATCCTTAGCCGAAGGTCGCAGGCCAGAGACCGTCACTACCGGTCTTGGGGTCGAGGGGCTATGCGTATGATGTGAGGTTGTCGCTGAAGCATGTGGCAATCTTTGTAAAGAATTTGGATTTCGTGCTTTTGTGGTGACGTAGGTGCTAAGTCCCCCGCTCTTCTCGTCCCCTACTCCTTGAGGTGAAAAGGAGTAGAGCAATGCACGTCCTGAACGGGGGGCCGAAGGTTGACGCCTTTTGCTCCACAATGGGGAGATGTCTCGTTAAAAACCTCACTAGGAAAAATTGTAACACCCCGGCCCCCAGGATCCGAGGTAGGTACTCCAAACCTCTAGTTCTGTCCTTACAAACCGCCACTAGCCTTTTCCACGCACTTTGTCCTCACTCGTGCGTGCCCTGGGAAACTTTCCAGGGAGGTCACCCATGCCACGACTACTCCCATGCAAGCACGCTTAACTTTGAAGTTCTTGGTGATGAGCTCCCTTAAAAGGAGATGCATCTTGTTGGTATAAGTGGTACAATTAATCCATTTGAATTAAATCTCAAGTATTACAAAAAACCTTGTGAGAAAAAATGTTAATGAAGGAAAAGAGTACACCGGATGCTCCCAAAATGAAGCAAAAGTTGCGAACCCTTCGGCCTGGGTGGAGCTGCAGCGGTGTCCATCTACTGAGGGGACGCCCGTTTGATGATGGGGACGACGACGCTGATGAGCCGGTCCGATTTTGAGGACGAGGTGATGATGAGTTCGATCGTCATACAAAGGCGATGGTCATCATCCATGAAGGGATGGCGAGCCCAATCGCTAGCTCAAGACGCTCGGCGCTGGGGAAGCCGGTCTTGAGATATAGAATCACGCTGAGGGTGAGGCCCGTTCGTGATCTAAGGACGATGGCGTTGATGAACCCGACCGTCATATGATGAGCCGGTCGTCATATAAAGGCGACGGTCACCATCCAGGAAGGGATTGGCGAGCCCGCTCGCTAGCTCAAGACGCTCGGAGCTAGGGGTGGCAGCGGGTTGGATTT